GAATCTGGCCGAGTCATGGCAGCTGGGGCGGTGGGTGGTGAAACATCAGGGAAATTGATAGACGGTTTAGAGAGGCGAGGAGGCGCAACTTGCTGCTTGCCAGCTTGGGGTCCTTCGAGGCGGCTGTGAGGCTCAAGAGGCTGTGTGACCTCGGTCCTTTCTGCCTTGGGCCCTGTAGGAGGTTGGGCCGGTTGTCGTTGCGGGACTTCATAGCGGTCTTTCTCTGTGGGGAAAGTAGACTTGGGCGCCGTGCGTTGGTCTGAAGAATCTTTATTTGAGGAAGCATTCGTGATGGGGGCAGTCACCGAGCCAAAGGCGGGCACCTGAGGGGCGGCTGGAGGTGGTGAGTTCCGAATGATAGGTCCAGGGTTCTTTATAGCATCAGGGCGAACAGCATCCAGTCGAGGGGCATCATGGGGAACAGCATCTAGTCGCGGAGCATCCGGTCGAGCATCAGGGTGAACAATATCTAGTCGAGGAGCATCCGGTTGGGCAGTGTCCGGTCGCGCATCAGGGCGAACAATATCTAGTCGAGGAACATCAGGTGGAACAACATCCGGTCGAACAGCATCCGGTCGAACAGGATCAGGTCGAGTAGTACTAGTTCGAACAGCGACAGGGTCGTTTCGCTCGGAATCTCGTGGAGGTTCCAGAGCCGTAGTGCTAGGAATGCTTGAAGGTTTCCGGCCATGATCCAATTGGGGATGGTCAGACAGGCGATCTGCTATGGCTGGTACAGGTCCAGGGCCGGACGCTGTAGGAGGATGTGAGGAAGTGGTTGAGCCACTGGCTGCGCGGCTATCTGCACGACTTGGTGGGCGGTCTCGTTTCCAAAAGTCCACAGGGCGATCACGGTCCTCGCGATCAGGTCGTCGGTTGTCCCAATCTTCGCGACGGTCAAAGCGATCTCGACGGTCCAAGTCGCGATCTAATTCTCGATCTCGATCTCTCGGACGTGGAAGGTCGCGGTCACGATCTCGGTCCATCATCCGGTCGCGATCTAATGCACGATCCCGGTCCATGTCTCGATCTCTATCGCGATCTACCATTCGGTCACGTCCACGCCACGGTTCACGGGATCGACTGCGGCGACGGAAAAGATCGCGATCATCGAGGAAGGCTGGACGACCACGACCACGGCCTCCTTCCCAATCTCCGCGACCACGCCCTCGTATGCCTCCTCGGTGTATATGGCTACCATTAGGAGGGGGGCCTTCTGGGCCGCCCGAAGATGCGGATATGATGCTATCCCTCGAGTTGCGTCGCATCCGAACCAGATCAAAATCGCGGCCCGGAGGCTCCCTTATGTCCCGAAAGTCGCGCGTCGGTGATCTTGAGCGGCCTCGGCCAAAGCCAATCCTATTGTCTCGGGGATCGAAATCGCGGTCACGGCGAGCCCAGTCTCGGTCCATATCTCGGCGAAATGGCGGGCCATCTCGGTTATCTCGAAAGTCGCGATCTCGGTCGCGGTCTCGTGGGTCTCGGTCACGGTCACGAAAGTCACCACGGCCATAACCCCTGCCACGACCACCAAAATGGCCACCACGAGGGGAATCAACAAGGGCCCGAGGACCACGCGGTGGATCTCTGCCAAATGGTGCAGGTCCGTCGTCGGGACCACGAGGACCGACCGGGGGGCGACGGTCTCCAAATCGCTGCGGAGAACGGTCACGGGAATTGAACCCGGACGATGGGGGGAATCGGGAGGACATTATCGCGTCATGCTACCATGAAGCTATAGACTGGTTAGCGCTCCAGCACGTTCGATGTACAGTGCAAATCAGTCCACGGCGGTTGGAATGCAGAATCCATCACATACCCAAATATGGAGAAACGGACACTCGGGAGGGTCTGCACGTGACAGTCAATGCACGGACCATATGAAGAATTGAAGAGCACGGATACCCGATCAGGTAAGGCGTAGTCCGTTTTCAAGTTGGGAGGACAAGATCCAATATCACGTTCTGTTTCCTTTTCTTTTTTTCTCGATTGCTAGATTTGAGTCTTGTTAGACCAGAGGAAATGGACAGTTCAGGCTGACAGACTGACAGATGGACAGATTCGAGATAAGGGGATTTAACGTGGAAAACAGGAAACACTAGCACGTTACAAGATCGGCGAAATCATGCGAGCTCCTTGCGCCGGATGTTATGCAACACAGTAATCTAGAGGAATGGAGGAATAGAGGAAGGGGAAAGGAATATGTAGGAATATGGAATCTGTTTGGAATATATTAGGAAGATGAGTTCGTGAGACTTCAAGGGGCTCGGCACTAACCCGGTTGAATGCTAGTGTGGTGGGGATGTGCCTCCTAAACTCTATTCATTGAATGTTCCAACTTAGGTTGTAGAAGTATACATAACTAGTAATATCAAAAAATATATAAATCAGTAAAAGAAAATAAGTACAGTAGTAGGAATACAAGGTCAATATTATAGGAGATTCTTTAATCATTCAAACATATCTCCAGGGAATCTCCAATTGTAGAATGGGTACTATGGAGATATTAATGCCTTAGGCATCTGGATATTAAGGCATCAAGGCATTAAGGAATCAAGGCATTCAGGCCCAGACTGATGCAGTTCCCCGCCGAATCCAAAAAAAAAAAAGATCAACTGCCCCTCTCTTTCTACCCGTACAAACTGACCTTCTTTTTTTTTTTTTGACATTCTCATCTCAATAAACCATTTTGAGCGGATTTATTTACATTTCTTACAACTGTTCCTTTTTTCAATTAATTTCTTCTTCTTTCCCTCCCAATATCATCGCAAATATGAACGCCCAACAGCTTTCAGCAGTCCCCTCCTCGGTGACCGACTCCGTCCTCCAGAGCTCGCAACCGGTCCCAGAGGGATCTCACGTGGTGAGCGGGGTGGATTTCGATAAGTTTCAAGGACGAGATATCACCGTTGCAGAGATGGTGGACAACTTAGCCTATACCGGTTTCCAGGGCAGTGCGGTCGCCGAGGCTGCTCAAATCATCAATGAAATGGTACGCCCTAACATATTGCAATATTTGCATCTTTGAATCCTGGGAGTCTAATGATCTGTTTCCTTAGCGCGCCTTCCGTGATCCCGAGACAGGAAACAAAACCACCATCTTCCTCGGCTATACATCGAATTTGATTTCATCCGGTCTTCGGGACACCCTACGTTATTTGGTGAAACATAACCATGTCTCCGCCATTGTGACCACTGCTGGGGGTGTGGAGGAGGATTTAATCAAATGCTTGGCCCCCACATATCTCGGATCCTTCTCGACCCCCGGTGCTGGACTTCGTGCTAAGGGTCTCAACCGCATTGGCAACCTTCTCGTGCCCAACAATAACTACTGCGCTTTTGAGGACTGGGTGGTGCCCATTTTGGACAAGATGTTAGAGGAGCAGGAGGCTGCAAAGATTAAGGCTCGGGAGACTGGGGACGAGGAAGACGAGCTCCACTGGACGCCAAGCCGCATCACTGAACGACTGGGCCGTGAGATCGACCACGAGGATTCAGTTCTGTACTGGGCGGCCCGGAATGGAATCCCCGTATTCTGTCCCGCTCTGACGGATGGATCTCTGGGTGACATGCTTTACTTTCACACCTACAAGTCTTCCCCGCAACGACTCCGAGTGGATATTGTGGACGATGTGCGCCGTATCAACACCATGGCTGTCCGGGCGACACGCGCCGGCATGATCATCTTGGGCGGTGGAGTGGTCAAGCACCACATCGCCAATGCATGCCTGATGCGCAATGGAGCCGAGCACGCCGTGTATGTGAATACTGCGCAGGAGTTTGATGGCAGTGATGCGGGTGCGCGGCCGGATGAAGCGGTGAGCTGGGGCAAGATCAAGACGGATGCCAAGTCTGTTAAGGTGAGTTGATCTATTGTTCTATTTCTTTGGGGCCGAGCTAACTTTCATACTTTTTTCAAGGTCTATGCTGAGGCCACGGCGGTATTCCCAATGATTGTGGCTGCTTCATTTGCTCGTGCTGAATCGACCCAAAATTGATTTCGCTTTTTGATCTCTCTTCAAGTCTCGGTACGACGGAACTTATTGCCAAGCAATGCGGGAACCCGCGGGTCTAGAAATGGTTTCTTTTTTAAAGAGCCAATCAGTTTCACTCACCATCGAAAAGTGGTCCGGTTTGGGTCAATCAAGGGTCTTTGATCGCGCAATTGTTTCAAGATAGGATTGACCCCTGTATATTGTACAGTCTGGTGTGCCTCTGTACAAGTATAGGTATGTTGATCGGCCCAATATGCCTATATGCCTGAAATGCCTGAAATGCCTGAAATGCCTGAAAACATAATAGTTTTCCGAGGTGGCGTGACCCAGATAACCCAGGGGTGTGAAAGGCCCAGTGGCGAAGGGGGGGATTCGATAAGCCGAGTCGCCACCAAATGTTCCAAAAAACGGCATTTAAGGGTTTTCTCCCCTGAGTGGGGATCGGATCGGCACACCGCTAAACTTCAGCAAGTACAACATATGTATAATATAGATGAATAGGTTGAATATTAGAATATAACTACATATATGTAGATATCAGCTGATATAAAGGGCTCCAACCCTATATGCATCAATGCGTGTAGCCACATACCTAGGTAGTACATAGTAATCCAGCCCTGGGCCAACTCAGTCTTCCCTCGGGAGGATTATACAAAAAGGACCCACTCGGCAACTTCCCCCGGACTCTTTTCTTTTTTCTTATCTTTTTTCTTTTTTCGATTTCTTTTTCTTTTTCAATTGCCTTTTTTTTCTCTTCCGCTTTTCTTCTTCCTCCCCTTCTTCTTCTTCTTCTTCTTCTCTTTCTTCTCTCCCTCTATTCAATAATTTATTCATTCGTTTTCTCGTCCTTCCAAAGGTTCTCTCCACATCTCCGCAACTTTCTTATCCGATAAGCCCTTATCAATCTTTTTATACAATTGGGACTTATACCGTGGACCTGCTCTTTATACATTATTTGCTTACACATTCGTTGAAAACTATTGGGGTTTTCCCAATTGGAAGGCCATGGACCCTTTACCTAATTTGTCAGCTTCTGGGACTGAAGTGGAGGATACGGTGAGAACGAATACAGAGACCGAGTCATCAAACCAATCCCCCGAATCATCACGTTCAACACGTTCAATTCCTCAGCCCACGCCAATCCTGCCCTCGGAAGAGCTAGAACATGCATATTGGGCAGAGTACGAGGAGGACACAACAGTCCCAGATGAGGACGAGATGAAAGAGATCGACGGCGGTGATTCGGATTACAGTGCCAGTGATCGTAGGTGCCAACCGTACAAGCAAGACCACGGAACATCCAGCATATACTAACCTCATGACAGACAAATATTGGGAAACCAACTTCTTTCGGGATTTGGGAGATCCCGAATACATTCCCACCGAAAAGGCCCGTCTCACGTGGACGTTCAAGGGCGTTCGGGGCACCCCCGAAACCCCCAATCGTGACAAAGTCATTCGCTCCCCACCAGCATTTGTTGGGGGTTATTGGTGGCGAATCAAGTTCTATCCTCGGGGGAACAATGTCAATGCATTAAGCGTCTACCTCGAATGCTCCACCACAATGCCCGCTCCAGAGGGCAACCTTCCCGAGACGGAATTTACGGTCCGTCGAGGTGCAGCCGATGCCTCACTGGATGATAGCACTCCGGAGATTCAAATAAAAACTACAGCCACGGACGACGCGGCAGCGTGGTTTGAGAACTACAAGTCTCAATATCCTGCGGTCAGGAACACCCCCCAATCTGATCATGAAGCCACGGACTCTTGGCGTGTGCCCGCACAGGTCGGTGTTATTGTATATAACCCACAAGAGCCACGCACTGGGTGGATGCAGTCTTCTTGTCATCAATTCAACACTCACAACCTGGATTGGGGGTGGACATATTTCCACGGCCCATGGGACCAAATTCATTCACGTCGGCGGGGTCAACATCGGGCCCTCCTGAACGACGATACGCTCTCGTTTGACGCATACATCCGTGTAGTGAACGATCCCACCAAGTCCCTCTGGTGGCATCCGAGTGATTCCGAGCCAACTTGGGACAGCATGGCCTTAACCGGTTACCGACCTCTGGGTGACTCGATCATCAATCATAGCCCAGAGGTAGCCGGGCTTGCCTCGTGGCTGCACATTGCTCCATTTTGCAAGATCATTCAAAGTATTGACGTGCTTGAACATCTCACCAATGCCGATGCTAGGCCGAAGCCTCTATGTGATGCTCTTCAAAGGCTTCTATGGCAGCTTCGACGCCAAACACTCTCCCCAAGCTATGTCGATACGGACGGTGTGACTAGCACTTTGCGCAATCTGCACGAGTTTTCGAGCGATGTGTCCGAATTCTGGGAGCGCCTGCGTCGAAACTTGGAGTTAGAGCTGAAGGGTACGGAGGCCGGCAAACAATTCGCTCAACTCTTTGACAGTCCAGGTGTACATGCTCCGTCTTCTGATGGCGAAGTCACCGTGAACATGCTGCCGACAGACTTCAACTCGCGTCTTTACATGCCACTTGATCAAGCCAAGTCTACCTTCGAAGCCGTTAGTGGATACTTGAGTGCTAAGCCCGGTCGTTGGTCGCTTCCATCGCTTCTTCATGTTGAGTTTGGCCGCCATACTCTGGACCAGGCCAAACGTTGGCAGCTGCGGTATGACAAAGTGGAGCTGGACGAGGAACTGGATCTGGCTCCGTGGGTGGTTGATGGCCAGGGTAGCAAGTACGTCCTTTATGGCTATATTGTTCATCGTGGCCGCCGCACTTCGGGCAAGTTCTTTAGCATCCTTCGCCCAGCGGGTCCAGGTACCACCTGGCTGGCCTTTGACGATGGCAGTGACAACCGCGTGGAGTGCTTAACTCAGAAAACAGCCATGGGTCCACACCTTGGTCTTGATCCTTCCCAGGCTGTGGATCACAAGAAGGGCCATGACGTCCCTGTCGTGGCAATGTACATCCGTGGCGATATGATATCGGAGCTTTTGCCTGGTCCCCAAGGGCCTTGGGAAGTTCCTGAGACCTTGAAACAATACTATGAAGCAGGCGTGTATCACACTGGTGACAAGCCTGCGGATGATGTCCAAGTTGAGGTTTATGCGCTTGCCCAATATGACCAGTTGACCAGCCTGTTTGACTCGTACGATCTCATGGCACAGGCCAAAGCGGCAAACAGCGTCATGTACATGACTTTGCCCCGCTCAACACGCTTGGCAGAACTACGCAAACGAATTGCTATATGGAACCCCTCAGGCTCTGAACCCATTGGTCCTGAGCGGGTTCGTTTCTGGCAGATTGGTAACTCCTTTGCTCAATCCGGATCATCGTTGGCGTTTGATCGCACTACGGATTTGAATGTTCCACTGGATCCTTCATTAAGCACCATACGGTTCTGGATGGAAACCATCTCGGAGGGTACGTGTTTGCATTCACCTTTTATTTCTAACCATCACCCCGCTAATCTCCAGCAGAGGACGCTCAATTCTTCGCCATCCCAGACCCTCCTGCGGTTACCACTTCAGAGGATAAACCGGATGAACTGGTTGTCGAGAACTCAATACACGAAGCTTCTTCAAATGTGTCGTCTGTGGCCGAAGGAGATGCCGTGGCTAGCTCATCAGGAAACTCTCCCCATGAGGGTCCTGCTGCGTCAGATACCGTGAACTCTGTCGTCGATGATGGATCACTGCCCCCATTAGCCACCTTGTCTCTAGAGAATGATGCTTTTGCTGCTGAAAGGGCAGAACAGGAAGTAGTGGTAGCTGCTGTCGCTGCCCATGATCAACAAGCCACGGCTGCTGTTACGGCAACATTGTCAACAGAAGCCAGAAGCTCCGCTCCTGTATCACCTTCCGAAGTTGAGTCTTCTACCCCAGAAGTGGCACCTCAAGCACAGACCCAATCTGTGGTCAAGTTACCTGTTGGCCATACATATTACTTCATTCAAATGTTCGACGCGGACAATCAAGTGCTTCGTACCGTGGGGTCATTCTTCTCGAAACTTGATGGCAACGTCAAAGCGTCCATCCGACGCCACCTACAGCGGCCTCTTCGCCAAGATTTCCTCATGTGGAAACGAGTCGATGGTGCTGCCGTTACCACAGTGTCGCCTGCTGACAGCTTCGATGATGTGGTGGCTCCGCACGGAGCATGTTTCATCGTCGGGGATAAGTTAACCAAGGCCAAGTAAGTACACATATATCTGGTTTTCAAGGTTAATTCTTTGGTTCTAACACAAACACAGGCGTACTCAACTTGCTTCGTCTGGATTGTTCACCAGTCCTGACCGTCTGGTTCAGTACCTGTGGGCCGCTTCTCGAGGTCATCCAATCCAAGGTTTCACCGGCACTAAGACCATCGAAGCCACCTTCACAAACGACTACTACAGTGGTCACTTCCTCAAGGGTTATCACCATGGTAGAGGCAAGCACATATCTAGCACAGGCATGATATACGAAGGCGACTTCGTCTTTGGCCGACGCCACGGCCAAGGCAAGCTAAATTACCCCACCGGTGACTCGTACGACGGTGATTGGGTCGAAGATGTATGCCATGGACAAGGTACTTACATTGAGAAGACAACAGGTAACAAGTATGTCGGCGGCTTCAAGGATGGCAAACGCCACGGCAAGGGCATCAGCTACTGGGAGGTGGCCGACGCAGAGTTGGATCTGTGCCAAATCTGTTACACCGAGGAAATGGATGCTGTCTTCGCCGAGTGTGGTCACCTTTGTTCCTGTGTGACTTGTGCGAACCTCGTGAGCCTGTGTCCGATGTGCCGCAAAGAGGTCAAGAAGGTGATCAAGATTTATCGGGCATAGAATGGTATCTGGTATCTCTGTTGGAGTATAGATGGGATGACTTTGAATTTTTGAGCACTTACATTCATTAATTTTAGCGAGCGGTGATTTGGGATGTGGGGAGTGATGTTGGTTTTATATACTCTCATTTTGGTTATATACACATTCCACCACTGGTGGATTTAGAATGTTGGATACAAAAGAACACTTCTTATACTTCCTTAGTTATACCTCTATACTTGACGATGTAGGACTTGGATAATTTGAATATCTTTGATTTAACACAATTATCTTACATCAAATTGGTTTTTTTACTCTTTTTATTTTTTTTTTTATTCTTATCTTTTTCCTTTTTGAAACACAGTTTGATCTTGATTGAACAAAAGGTATATCCAATGCGCCGGGTCCCGGACCTAATACATGATGCTTTTGACTTGCCCGAAGAATGAAAAAAACGAAGAATTATACACAAAGAGATGAATGATCAAGTCATTGATCATTTGCTGGCCTTCTTGCCCGACTTCTTATCCTTCTTCTCGACCTTGCCCTTGGCCGTGGTCTTCTTCTCTTCCTTTTCCGTAATCACCGGCTTCTTATCTTCCTTGACCACGGTCTTCTTCTCGCCCTTTGGCTCATTGGTAGTCTTCTTCGAGGCAACGGCCTTGGTCTCTTCTTCTTGGCTTGGTGTCGCCGTTTCGCTTGTCTTCTCTGACACCTCTGCCTTGCTCTTCTTGGGCTTGTTCAGAACACCCTTAGGGTTGAGACCCTTACGACGCAGACGGTTGCGCTCAGCGCGAGCAATGCGCTCGATATCCTCGGGATCCTCGAATGAGCTGAAGGCACCACCCTCGAAATCAGCGGCGTGTCCATTCTCATCAACAATCGGGGTCCTGTCAATGGACTCGTCGTCCGTGGAGGCAGCCGAGGAAGCACTGCGAGCCTTCTTGGGGCCCTTGGAACGGGTTTCGGTATCGTCCGACTTGGCCACGGGGGTCACGGCAGTCTTCTTGAGCTTGCAGACGTAGAAACCGTCAACATTCTCGCGGTGGGGGAAGTAACGGCGGGTGAGGGCCATCTTAGGATCGAAAGTCTTGCCCATATAGCTGAGGAATCCAGGGCTACCGAAGCCACCGAGACCGGTGTCCACAATCTTGACATTAGGACGCTTGCGAAGAACGTACTGCACAACGGCCTCGTTCTCTTCGACTGTCACACTGCAAGTAGAATAGACAATGTATCCACCGGTCTTGGAGGCGTGGTCGACGGAATCAATTGCAGCCAAAAGAAGCTGACGCTGCATGTGGGGAATGGCGAGGAAATCACGCTCGTTCTTGGAGGTCTTGACACCGGGATCCTTCGAGATAACACCGGTACCGGTGCAGGGAGCATCGAGCAAAACACGATCGAAGCCACCCATAGCCTTGGGGAAAGCAGTGCGGGCATCCATGTTCGTCACAATGGTGTTCTTGCAGCCAAGACGGTGAATGTTACCAATCAAACCCTTGGCACGGGGCTTACTGGCATCGTTTGCGATAACACAGCCAGTGTTGCGCATCAGGGCGGACATGTATGTTGTCTTACCACCGGGAGCAGAGGCCATATCGAGGACACGCTCATTAGGCTGGGGAGCGAGAGCCATGACGGGAAGGAAAGAAGAGGCAGCCTGGAGAATATAGTGACCGGCCAGGTACTCAGGGGTGGCACCCAGGGGAACTGGAGACTCGAAAACTTGCAGGCCAACCTTGGACCATTTGCCAACGGGCTCGAGGACAACGCCACGGTTGATGAGGGCCTGGGCGAGGGATCGGCGGTTGGTTCGCAGAGTGTTGGTACGGATAACGACAGGGCGAGGAGTCTCGTTAGCTTCGAAGAAGGCAAAAGCCTCCCTGGGAGTGAACAGGTTGAACAGCTTCTCAGCCAGGAATCGAGTGTAGCCGTAGTATGTGCAGATATCGTCGAGCAGGAGATCGATATAGTCGGTACGCGACTTACCGGGCAGGCCGAGGGTCTTCAGATCACCCAGGATTCGGATGGTGTCTGTGATGCGCTGGCGAAGCAGCTGCAGATCAGGGGCGAGTCCCTGTTGGGTTTGGTCGGCGAACACATCGGGTGCGGCAATGTTGGTCTGCATGGCGGCTTCCTGCATTTCCTGCTCAGCGGCTTCCTCCTCCTCTTGTTGTTCAGCATCCAACTTCCGCGACAGACCCTCGATGTTTGCGGCGGTCAATCTCTCTTCGGCATCAGAGTCCTCGTCGTCAGAGAACATGGCTCCACGGGTGTGGCCCTCCTCGTCAGAATCGACAACCGAGTTATCATCCTCCAGGTCCGACAGTCCTTCAACCTGATCGTCGCTATCCATTGAGCCTTCACTGATCCCATCGAGATCACCGAACTCATCATCATCCTCCATATCCTCATCATCATCAGACATGGGCACCGGCACGGCCTTCTGTGTGACCGACGGCTGCTTCTTAGGTTCCTTGGAATCGGCCTTGGGAGCAGCACCATTGACCTTCTTCTTCTTGGGGGCTTCCTTCTTCGAGGCAGCGTCACCGGCATCAGATGATCTGCGACGCTTAGCTGGTGCAGGCTTCGGAGGCGCCTCAGCCCCGCCAGCCTTGCGTTTCTTGAGCATTGTGATTTTTGACTCGTCGAGCGGGGCCGGAGGGCCCTGCTTCTTCATACGGCGACCGACACCCATTGTGAAAAAGTGGTGTATATGGGGACGTTAATGGTGTTTGCTTTCTGGGGGGAGCTTGTAATTTCTTTCCGTCTTTTTTTTTTTTTTTCGGGCGGTGACTGACAGCAGTACAGCAATAAGGAAAGGCGGTGTGACTATTTACCTTTATGCCTTATAATCCAGGTGTCAACTGTCGCATCGGCATCAACTGAACCCCCAAAGGTCCAGACCTCCACTACTCCAACTACTTATCACCTTCGACTTGTTTTCTCTCTCTCTCTCTCTTTTTTTGCCTTGAGAATCTGTACCGACTTAAATAGCTCACCATGTCGGAGCTGACTTTTACCAAATCATTCCTGTCTACGCTGGACTCGCGGCCTATCAAGCTTCGCGCTGATCATGTCTTCGACCCAGAGCAAATTGGACTACGAGTTCCGGTGAGACTTGATGCGAACACTCCCTAGCTTGACTCACCGAGGAAGATCATTCTAACATGCTTTCCGAAAACGATAGTACACCCTCCCCCGCCTTTCTGCCCCGCACCCTCCAATGCCCAAAAAAGTGAGGTCGACACAGGCACCAGGCTCATCCAAATCAATCACTGTCCGCATCAAATCTGCCCGCAATCCTCCTCTGGAATTCCTGATCTCCAATGCCCCTCTCTCGACCACCTCGGTCCAAGACATCCGGGATGCTGTGCAAGTGCGCGTCGCTGATGCGCAGGGAGGCCAAGTTCCGCTAGACAAGATCAAGATCCTATACAAGCGCAAGCCAGTGACTGGGACCGGGAAGACATTGGCCGAGGTATTGGCAGATGAACCTGCAATTATGGTGGGAGGCAAAGAAGTCGAGATCGGGGTGATGATCATTGGTGGCGCCCAGGTGGTTGAATCTGCTGTAGCTCAACCGGATATTACAGAAAAGCGGGATGGATCACCGTCCAAGGCTGCTATAGGTCCGAGTGGTGAGGAGGTGTTGCATACAGAGGCTTTCTGGGATGACCTGCAAGGCTATCTCGAGCAGCGATTGAAGGACGAGGAAGTAGCAAAACGGTTGAGATTGGTGTTCAAGGAGGCGTGGAGCTCAACCAAGTAGAGTATAACTCCACGACAGCGCAGCGAAATAATGTCAATATCGAATCAATATCGAATGATACCTGTATTTGTTCCAGCCGTTTCACATACGTCTCGTGTCCATGAAGGTCTAAGAAGCCCGAGTTTGCTCGATGAATGGTATGGATTCGAATATTATACACACAACATGAGTTATCAGTGTCCAAGGCACAAGCTATGTAGATAGACACATTCAAGCAGAACTGGAAAAAACCCCCCATCCACACCAAACAACCGATACATCAAATATCGAGAAGAATACTTCGAATCCTCCCAGGCACTCCTTAAAACTCAATCACGACCCTATCACAAGAGCAAATGGAACAGTATTCGAACAAGATATGTTCTAGTTCCCATAGAAAGTAGAGCATGTACCGAAACAGTTGAAGGGAAGAAAACATCCACGCACGCCAGGGAATCTTTGTCGAACATGTTATCAGCGAAGTAAAAAGTACACATGTTGAAAAAAGAAAAGAAAAAAAAGCAGTGTCACGTAGGAGAGTATCACAGGCCACACAGTGTCGGTGAACACCGTTGCAAATGCTCGAAAGAACTGGTCCGGCCAATCGCTCATCCAGTTCATGGGATCATACAGAAAACGACGAGCAAACGCGAAGAGATACACACACAGGTATAACGCAAGAAGAATCATACACGGGTTTTCATTCCGTCGTTTCAATCATCGGGAGCAGACCTTGACCAGGCCGTCTCCACCACCGCCAACGACCCAGTGGCCATCACGGCTCCATACCACAGCACAAACTCCTTCGCCACGCATCAGCCGATGGCCTGTCAACTCTTGGGTACAGCTGCGCTTCTCAAGGTTCCAGAATCGCAAGCTTGCATCATGGCCAGCCGAAACAAGCTCACGCCCATCCGGAGATAATGACAGTGAGGCTATCGCAGCAGGATGAGCAAGCATTGTGTATGTACATTGACCTGTATCAAATGTTAGCGTATTGTGGAGGATAGCAAGGCCCTTTGGATGCCACTTACCACTATTAGCATCAAAGAAGCGGATGTATCGGTCCTCGTAACCACTGATGATTACACCCTCTACGCTGCTTGATCCAGTAGCTCCGTGGACCACTTCTTCTTCTTCGGCCATCGTGCGGTTGGGATCAAGATTAACTGTTCCATCAAAACCAATAGTCGTGGCGACGACTGAGTTCACCCCAGTAGCTGGCGTGCCATCATATGTCTCGAGACTGGCCATACCCGCAATTTCT